AGAACTGTGATGGTGGGAAAGGAGAAAAAGGGCCTGGTGTATTAAATACAGTTCCTCACCCCCAAAGGAGAGGACTTCTCTATATATTTCCTCTTCCTGCCTGCCTTTGCAAGGGAGAGCTTGTAGTTCTGGGCACACCGGCTGACCTAGTCTGGGCCTCGCAGGACTCGTGCACAGCTCTGACGGCTGCAAAGCGCACTAAAAGCAACGGACATCTCTGCCGTGGCTTCTCTGGAGTTAGGCTCGCCCCTATGTGAGGATCCTTTTGAGACTTGAGGCACTTTCCCCAGTTCCCACATCTGCACCTCCAGTATTTTTTTCCCTCATTCGTGCCCTTTTCTACTTGTGATTTAGAGCCTTGGCTGCCTGCCAGGGATCCCGCGAAGCTCGGTGCAGCTCCGAGCTGCAACAGGCCGAGCGGAGGGTGCACCGCCGTCCGTCGCGGCGGTTAGGTCTGCGGCTGCCATCCATCCGGCAGCATCCTCCACGATGCGTCACTGCTCGCTCCGCATTGTTCTGTCTCATTGCGATGGTAAAATATTGATTTCTAAAGGAGAAAGGCTGAGCAGGGAATGAAAGGGATGTTTCCATTAGTGAGAGAACTCAGCCAGCCTAATAGGCCCAAAACTTTGTCAGAAATGTCAGTGTGGGGTCCCGCTGAGCCGGGGCTCAAAACTGCTCCGCCGTACTGCATAATTTCCAATCCCTCACGCTGCCAATGAGCGATTGCCGCTGTTCTCCTGGCTGTTTGAAACTCAGATGCAGAAAAGGAAGCTCTTGAAAGGGGATGGTGGAGGGAAAAAAAGCCCTGATTGGAGTCAGTGTTTCGGGACTTTAATGCTGGATCTGGCCTAACCAATCTTTTTTTTTCTCCTTTGATTAGTCGTTTTTCCCAAATGGCCCCGCCGCCTTCTCTGCTCGCGTGAGAACAGAGCAGAACCGGGGTTTGCAATGAAGTCTGGAGCGCCCTGGGAGCTGGACTGGGTACCCCTTCTGCCAGGGACCCCGGGCTCTTCAGAGGGGCCTGGGTCAGGCCCCCACGGCTGGGGCCTAAAACTCCAGGTTGTCTGCATTTAGCTTTGAAAATAAGCTCACGGCAAAGGCGATCTCTGAGCCAGTCCAGCTCCCCTGGCAGCGTCCACCGCTTCCGCTAAAGACCTGTCTGTCCGTGCACGGGGGCTGTGCGGGGATGCTGCTTGCGTTGAGACTTTCCTCTTGCAGGCGTGCAGGAGGTGTCTGCACTCGGGCCCTGCCTAGCAAGAGCCAGAGGCAGGAGGTGAGGGGGCTGCAGGGATTCGGGGAGGATTGGACTAAGGATGTCCCCAGGCTCAGTTTTTCCCATTAACCGGGTAGGCGTCCTGCCCAGAAATTTGGGACATGGAGTACCAGCTGGGATTGCAGGACAAATGCTAGCACGTACCGGGGCACATGCAAAGCATTTCAGTCTGCAAAGGCGGCTGCCAGGCTGGGGGCAGAGCCGGGTGCAGCCTGCAGCTGGGTTTTGAATGGTGCCGACCTGAGCGTACAGTGCCCTGCACCTCCAACCCAGCAGGACTCGTACGGGACATCCCACAGCCAAGCTAAGCCGGTGGCCGCAACCCACCCGTGCTCCCCACCTCTCTCAACGAGGTGTGCCAGCACTGCACGCCTCTTCCAGGGCTCGAGCTGATGTTCACACCCTGCCAAGGCAATGGGAGATCTTTGTTTCCCCTGTACGGAGAGCACGGGTGAAGGGAAATACCCTTTGCTCGTGGGGCAGGTGAAGGGGTGCATCCCCTTGGGGAAGACGGCAGTCATGTGCATGCACCCATTCAAGACCGAGTCATGAACAAACTGGCTGAGACCTGGGGCTGGGCTGCCAGACGGGAACGCGGCACCGCAGAGAAGAGGGATCTTCCCAGGCCCCAGTCATGCTTCTGCATCGCTGCACATAACACTGAGCCCTGGAAGGAAAACCAGGACTATCGGCTTAGCTGAGGCTCCATGAGCCTGCAGCCTGTCTAGTAACCGACCCAGAGGGTCTCCCAGCCGCGTCCGTCGTGCTTCCCCGAGAGCAGGATGGCGCACGCTCCCGGCACGGCCGGCCCCACTCAGCAGTGAAAGCAAATCTGTTCCTGAAAAGCTTTCCTGGGAACTTCCCTTCCTCAGCCGCCACTGCAAGCTACTTATGACTGCACCTTGGCAGAGCAGCTCTGGACCCACCGAGCCTGGCCAGGACCCGCCGAGAGGGCGCGGACACCCAGCCCCTTTGCTGCGTGACTTCTGAACCCGCCGGAAGAGCTGCAGAGGTGAAGGCAAACCCAGGCCCAGCCCTCCCTGCCGCTCTCCCAGCTGAAGTGGCAATTGCAGGTTAAATAAAGAAGCAGCAGCTAAAGTTTCTGAGCAAAGCCTGGCTGCCCAATAATAGTATTTAGAGTCTGGCAGTACTACCCTTCCCCGATGAATAGCACAGCAAGCCTCCTGTTCGCTGTGGGTGTTTGATTCTGAAGGAAACTACTAATTATGGCATTATGCCTTCTGAAAGGCTCCCAGCTCTTGCGCTCCCGCGCGGGCACCCAACATCAAGGGGGGAACGGCACTCTCATCTCACGCAGGTCCTTATTAACCTGCAGCCCCTACCACTGCGCCAGGGCCCCCCTCGAGGGGCAGGTCCTGGCAGACACGGCCGTCTTGGACAGGGAGTTTCTGGAGGGAGGACGGCCTCTCCCAGGGGAGCAACGCCAGCTGATTCCCATGCACAAGTCACGCTTCTGCCTGCGGGCCTTCGCCCTGCTTTCTTCCCCCCCGCCGTGCTCAGCAGCTTTCCTTCTTCGCCGCTCTGTAGCTGCTGTCTGCTGGCGCGGCATCTCCGCCTTGTACGCGCCTCCAAACAGGTTGTCTAAGCCGTCGGCGCGGGGCGGGAGAGCAGCCCAGGCATGCCCGAGCGGCACAGGCCGCCCGGCATTTTGGCTCCCATTAAAAATAACCAGGAGGCTGCAGACAGCTGGATGTGCCCCCCTGCATCCCTGTGGAAAGAGGAGCCCTGCATCCTGCGTGGGCAGCAGAGCAGCTGCTCCGAAGTCGGCCCTGCATGGAGAGGGGGATGAAGGCAGTTGCCGGGAGCCCACGCGGACCCCACCTTCCCACTGCTCTGCAAGGGAGTGTTTCCAGCACAGCCCTGGGACCTCCTGCCTTGCAACAGGGCCCGACCATGGGACCAAATGAGCCTGAGTGTAGGAGCAAATGACCAATTGCAATGGAGCTCCACCATGGGACCAAATGGCTCCCACAGGCTCACGAACCAGATGCTGCTCACTTGTGCACGAGTCAAAATGGGAGCAGCGAACGGCTGCCTCTGTCGGTGGCGGCGGCCTTGGCTGGAAATCTGCAGTCGCGGGGTGATGGCAGCAGCCTGGGGCTCCGTGGAGAGAGGCGCCGCACCAACAGGCAGCAAGACGCACGGTCCCTCTGGTCCTGGCCTGGCTCCGCCAGCAAACTCGGTTAAGGCTGGATGCAACATGTGGGTGTTGCAAACAATAGGGCAGAGGAGGCTTGCAGCAATAAGCACGCGAATTTGCATGGGCTGACAATACGCACAGCTTGACGGCTCCAAATCACTTGAGATGCCTTTGCTATTTGTTGATGAGAAGATATAAATACAGGGAACGGCATCAGTGCTGGCGCATCTTCCCTGGGGTGGAGGAGTGCTGTGGTGAGCAGGGGAGAAAGCAGGCAGCAAGCCAGGCAAGCTCTCCAGAGCATGGGAACAAGTCTTGGTCTACATGGTGCCCACCCGCCTGCGGCTGACGCCTGGCCTCGGACAGTCCTCGCCCAGCAGGAGCATAACAGGCAGCTTGCCCTAAGCCCGAGCCCAGGAGTTCCTCTTGTTCGCACATGCAGCAAAGGCAGAAGTGACTGCCGGGATGGGCTTTCCCACCTTGGTGGAAGCTGCTTAGTCAGCCCCTGTGGGTAGCGGGACCCTGCCGCTGCTTCCCTAAGCGAGCTCTAACCAGCCCGTGCGTCTGGAACCACGAGGATCTAGCAGCTGTGCAGGCTGTGGCCCCATCCCCGACGCCCCCGTCCTCGACTATGAAGGGGCCTGGCACTGACGCTTGCTCGTGGCTAGCTCGCTCTGCGGCACTGCAGTTAGCTAGACGGCAGCACAGACGTGCTCGCGGGCTGTCCAGACGCCGCCTGTGACGGCCGTGCTGCGCGCTACCCCAGAGCCTGCAGCCGCCAGGTAGAGCAGAGGCAGGGAGCGCCAGCTCCGCACCCCGGGGCCGCAGCAAGATCCCCCCCAGCCTGGCTCCTGCGCAAGGGTGCCGCTCGCCCCTGTTCGGAGCTGCCAGAGGGCAGGCCTGGGCCTGGGGGGTTGCGGCGGGGTGGGCCTCCCACACGCGTGCTTGGGGAGGCGAGGCAGGTCCGGGTCTCGGCCGCCCAGGCAGCTGCAGGTGGGGGGACCCCTGCAAACAGCACCTCGGCCCTGGTCCCTCCCCTCCTTGGCTTCTGCCCCAGCATCTCCCCCTCCGCGCTGGTCCCGCCACGCGCGCCTCCGCCGGTGGGGCCCGCGCTGGCGATGAGCATCCTGCCCCGACGCGGGGCTCCTGCACGCTCGTGCGGGCAACTCCTCGGGGCCACCTTAAGCGCCGCGCGGCCGGGGCGGGGGCGACCTC